GGTAGGTTATGAGTGGTCCCTGATTTACAATTTACTTCAACGCCGTCTTAGGGAGAATGAAGAAAGAGCGCTTTTGATATAAGGTTTAGGAGACGTGAGGGTTAAGATGTTTAGCTATACTATAGCGAGGTATTATGTTACCAAATTGAGCAGCATCAAAGGCATAAGGTGACAAGCTTGAATAGGTGGCGAACATAAGAACAGTCAGGGACGAGGCATCTGTGACCTATGACATGCTTTTCGTTGTTGTTGTTATTATTCACACAACCCTGAAGAGCCCCATTGTGGCATAATTAAAATGATGCAAAGGCATTTCTCATCTAGGGCTTCCCTTCGTTATGTTTACTCTTATATTGACCCTTAATATTCAGTGCAATCAGTGGGACCACAGGCAAACAAAGAAAAACAGCTTTTTATTTGAGCAAATTGGCATAACCGATTGGCGAAACTTCTCAAGCATTTCTGCTGAGATAAAAGACTGAGCGAGGAGGGCATGGACAGTATTCGGCGTCCTGACCCGGAATGCCAGCATTCCCTCTTGGACCTTGCGCACCGGGTGGTCCTTGAACTCCAGGTTGTCCTGGTGCACCAGCGGGTCCCGGAGGTCCATCGAGACCTGGCAGACCAGGAGCTCCAGGTATACCGACAATTCCCGCTGGTCCAACTTCTCCAGGCGGTCCAGCTGGTCCAGGCTTGCCTTTGCGACTCGTAGCTTCCATTCCTGGAGGGCCATCGGGACCGGGAATCCCGGGTTGTCCTGCAAGTCCCGGATCTCCAGGTGGACCTGGAGGTCCAGGAGGTCCATATGATGGGAAAGGAAATCCGGGAGTGCCGGGGATTCCGGGAGGTCCTTGAAGTCCAGGTGGTCCGTCGGGTCCTTTTGCGCCGGGCTCTCCACGTGGGCATTTGACACAACCCATTGGTGGAGCACAAATAATAGAAGGGGCATATCCCATAAAATCCAGTCCGGGTGGGCCAGGAGGTCCAGGTACTAAACAATTTAGATTACCTCTAAGCAACCGTAGTGACCATAGCAACATTTATCTCAAATCTAAGTAAGTCTGAACACCCTTATATTTCTGAGGGCAGAAATGTTTTCGTTGTGCTAGTCCTAAAAATCTTAGCATTTTAATTAGAATTTATGTACTTACTTCCAGGTTCTCCCGCTGGTCCTGGAGGTCCTGGTGGTCCTGGCGGACATGTTGGCACCAAATCACAGTGGCACCATTCGGGCAAGCCAGCAAATGAAACAGTCCTCTTCACCCTGCTTACAAGAGGGTTTTCGCGAGGTTTTGAGGGTGGTGAGTGAGAAACCTGTACGGTCATCAGCTCAATCCACGACGAATCTGTTTCAACCTACAAGTATTACCATTAGTTGGGCTAAACATGTGTGGATATTGTTGTTACCTTAAAACTCTCAACTGCTCCAAAAACCTCTTCTTTGAGATCTACCATTTCCCAGTAGAGCCGTGGAAGGAGGAGCAGTGAGCCAATAAGGGAGATGGCCCCGGCTGCGAGGGAGACCGTCACAACGAACGATGTCTCCTGCATCTGAAAGGAATCAATTGTCTACAGATTCAAAGTGATAATTAGAAGAAGATCCAAGGAATGTGCAGTTCCTGAGTCAGGAAACGGCCAACTCATTGGGACTGACTGTATAAAAAATGAAGATTTTATCGGAAGGGTTGGAAAAAAGCGAGATGAGCAAAGCTAGTTAAACTGTTTATTCTTAGAGTTTAGATGTAAACGCTACAATTTAGCCTTAGAGCAGAGATTTGAACTTAAAGAGCTGTACATTGAAGAACCTGAGGACTGATCTCCTCACAGTTGAGGACCACGTCTTTGCAGCCCAATAGATGTCGAGGAAATGGCGTGTAGGTCGTCCTCGCCGCCGCCCTTATAAGCGGCCGAACACGCCCCTACGAGTCTCATTTCCCTCGCACACAAAAAACGCCACTACGATCCGGAGCGAACAAAATCGCCAATCGTTTTCAGAAGCGTCGACCATCTCGGCTACACGATGAGCACGTTTTTATCGCAGCGGCCTTAAAGAAACTTTTGTTGTGGACGAGATTGTAAACGAGAGCCAGGTCCAGATACTGGCCAGAAGCAGCCATTCTGAGAAGCCCTCTGTATGTATGTAGCTGTTTCGCTTCTACAATTCTCTTCTCCTACATCCATAAGCATACTTTCCATTTTCATGGTAATCTTGGAAAGCAGTTACCCGGATAAGATGTATGTAAAACAATCTATTTTAGGTTTCTCGGCATACAAATTTGCGAGAGAGTATATCGCATTATGAACTTCATTGTCTTTAGTAGTTCAAAGAAGTAAAATATTTAAACATAAACTGTGTTCGTTATGTTAAGTGGTTGTAGGCAATTTGGAGCATGAACAACTTCATCTTAGCCAATTAGCTAATTCTAGACATAAGAAGATCGAAATTCGAAAGCAGTACTGAAATTCTGCGGAAAAAAATCTGAAGGCCACATAAAATCTTCTAAAGGATTCGAAACATCTTTGGGAATATCACCACGAACAGCTTTGTGTTCTAGGATAACACAACCAACATATACAGAATTTCAAGTAGAATGAAAGCATTAAAGTATCCATACGATTTGATTTGATCGCTTGACAACTCTTTAACGGTTAGACAAGGAGATTGTATGGTTATGAGAATTATGCCTTTTATAAGGGATTTTCCAAGATAAATTAAGCACTCAAATTCGCAAAACTTTTACGAAAATATTATTTCTTGATCTGATATGTCCAATTTTCTTTGAACAAAATTTTTGTTTTGTTAAAGAAACATTGTCAATCAGAAATTATGTTCACAGTTATTTTGTGTCGGAAATTGGAAACGTAGCCGATTACTTAATTCTCTTATAATAAACAGGATATATCATATCTAAAACTAGCCAACCTTTAATTACAATTTCTTTTATTCGAGCCTAGAATTAGAACTTATTTTTACTTTAGCTTTCTTAAATACATTATGCTAATTGTTTA